TAAGAGATTGAAGATATTCTTGATAAGAGACTCTGCAGCTGTGACTGATAATATTTAATAAAATAAGTTAGCTATGATTATCTGATCTGAACTCTGAGTTCTATATTATTCAAGATCACAGTCCTCAACTGATAAAAACTATGCATGATTAGAAAAGAAGAGAGCTAATGTGATAAGCTGTGCTCAATCATTATAGAGACTATTTCTTTATACTTTATAGATTTCACTGAAAGCTCTGATTCTCAGTCATTCTCAATCACTGATTCTCAGCTGAAAAACTCTCAGAATTTCAATTCTTTCACTCTGAAGCTTCACCGTGTACACACCGCGTACATGTATAAATATTCACTTCAATTGCTGATTCTCGCACTTTCTCTTTCTTTTCCTTCTTTAACATTTTGCACTTTGTTATAGAAGATCTATATATATTATACTAATCTATTCAGCGTAGGCTTCTTACATCTGTATTACTATTTTACTGCAGTATATCTTCAAGAAATGGAATGTAAAATGCAATAATTCTCATCTTTTCTTCACTAATATTTATTATAACTCTTTTACAATTCAATATAGATAAGTCATATGATAATACAGTAACAGTGTCAGAAAAATTGATATTATAAAAATCAAAGATTAGAATAAAAATATTGTTTTACTTCAAAGTACTTAACATGACTCAGTGCAGAAATCATATAAAAACTCATTAAGCTTCAGTACATATTCTGATATAAATTAAATTCATTAATAAATAATTGATATGATAGAGAAATAACTTGTATATCAGAGTAAAATATACTTTTCAAAAGATTTCAATCATATGTTGTAATTTTCAACTCAGTCTGAATCAGTAAAGATTTGTAATATAATTATATCTTAACAACTTCAGTTTTGATTCTTATGACTCAGTGAAGAAAATACTGATCTTGACTCTTATATATCAGCAGATCAGAACCTGATTCAAATACTGTATTTATATAAATATCAAGTTGATTGAGAACTTGAATAATTAAGATATATTTCATCTCATTCTTCATTGTAATTATTTTGAAGAGACTAAATAATGAATTCAAGAACAGTAATGTTTATACAGTCTGCAGAATATAGTGAACAGCTTCTTAAACTTTCAGAACTATTATATAAGATCTTATATCTTAATGTTAGTGATTATATCTGACAAAATACACTCTCTCAATGTGAGATATATCATTCAACTCTGATTTATAAAAGTATTTAAGATTCTCACACTGATACTGAATAAAATCAGAAGAAAAAATAGGTTTATTTAATAAATATTGTATAAAGTTATCAGAATAATATTTGACTGACCTTTCTCAACTGTGAGATTATCATAACTCTGTGAAATTGTTGACAATTTCTGTCATTTCTATATACATTTGTCACTGAAAAGTTGGGGATTTGAGAAGAGCAGATATCAAGAAAATCAGGTTTTAAAAGTAGAGTGATCTTATGAAGAATTCAGTGAGATTTTTCTGAGCAGATCTCAGAGTTAGTATTTACATTGATAATACTATTAAAATTGAGATTTTCTTAACTGATAAAATCAGAAATTGTACTCTGCATTACCTTTTCAGAGTTGATATATCTTCAGAGAAAAGACTTATCAGTGATGTATTCTTTAATAAATGCAGAATTTATAGTAGTAATTTATAGTTTTTGCAGAAAATATCTGACTCTTCAGCTCAGAGTCTCATTGTCAGAATAAATGAATTCATTTCAAAGTTATAATATTTATGAGATATATTAATTGCTGAATCAGAATCAATAAATTGATTAGTAATAGTAACAGCAATTGCATCAGTAGCTGATATTTTAATATTATCAGTAACTAACTCATCAGAATTCTCTTAATCATCATTTTCAGAAATATTCTTCTCAGCAGCTGCATTCAAAAGTCACTTAATATACTTAATATTATCAGCAGTATTCTCATTATGTAACTCTGTCTTTAGAGAATATTAGTTTTTATAATAATACAGATATTAAAAGTAATAAACTTATTAAGAATAGTAATACTTTATCACTGAGAGTATTATTATCTGAATCACTGTCAGTAAAATCTTCATTGACAGTTTCTGAGAAAGAGAGACTCTGATATTAAAATTTCAATTGATTATTCCTGAATTCTTGTCTAGAGACAGATAGCAGATAGTGTTTCAGATTTTAATTAAATAGATATAATATTTTACTTTCTGATATGATTTATAGAAAAGAGTTGTGTAGTTGAAAAGATATGAATGAAGTGAATAAGTGATCTTGATAAAATAAAGAGATGAGATTGAATTACTGAAAAGAAATATATTAATAAAAGCTGCAATCAGCAACAATCTACATTAATTTAATATTAAGAACTAAATCACTATATTTCTATTCATATCATAAATTTATCAGAGTTCTATCAAGATTTTGAAACTATATATTGTTATAAATTCTGCTTTACTAGATGTCTTTATACTCTTTCATCTGATAGATTTAATAAGATAAATCACTGATTTCAAAAGAAATCTGATATTGATATATCTGAATATAGAATGAATATAATAACAGTAGTAATGAATACCAGTCAGATAAGAAGAAGTCAAACTCATCACTGATATCAAGTAGTTCATTAAAAAGGGGTTGCTGAACCTGGCGTTCAGATGCAGAAATGTATAAGAAGGAAATTCAGCTGATAGAGCAGTATCTCCATCTGAAGATAAAATGAATATATTATCTTTCTTTTAATACAGATAATTTGAATTGAACAGTTGTAAGTATGATAAAAATAAAGAATAAAACATTATACATCTTTTCATTCAGCGGAATGATGATGCTGAATATGATTAAAACATGAAAGTCTCAAACTCTCAAAGAAATGAAGATAAGTAGAATTAGATTTTAGCAAATATATCAACTTTTAAGTGAGATATTAAAATTTTTCTGATCAACTTAGCCTATTATTTATTAATATAGAATTATATTCAATAAGAGAAGATAAAGAGCAGAGAAAGTTCAGTAGTAATCAGATTGTATAACTGCTATAAAGAATTAATTATCTTGAATACTTCTGTGATTCATTTACTGCTGAAAAGTTCTTTCTGTTTTTTTACTGAGTGTGAGAAATCATTGACTTTAATTGATTCTCTGAGTGAGAATAATGATATATGAAACATGAGTTGAATATTCATTAGTTAAAGATATTGAATTAAAAACTTCAGATTGAAAAACTAGAAACTAATTCTGAAAAATAGAGATATATACTAATCTTATAACTCAGATTAAAATATTTAATAATACTGATATAAATGAAAATTCTGCTGCAGCTATATTATAATAATAAAATATTCTAACATTCTGAGATCTGATAAGTGATCTTTCTGAATATCAGTAAATTATCAGAGATATCTTTACTGAGATAATTCAGAATATCTCAACAGTAAAAAAGAGATATCTGATGAAAAATGTATAAGAGAAGATGTAAAAAAAGATCAAATTTTCAGAGATACTTCTGATAAAAGACAGATCAGTGATGTAGAGATTTTTAATATATTCTATTTTTATATCAATATATTTAGTTTTCTATAAGTTTTATATATAAATTAGTTAATATATACTTTAATATATATAATTAAAATATACCTGTCTTGATATTCATCGAAGAAAGTTGTTATATTCTCTATCTTACAATTTATATAGTTATAACTATGAAGAATTGCCCCGGTGGCTGAATGGTTAATGCGGCCACCCGGTAGTGCCTTGGCGTGGGAAACCAAGGCGCGTGGGTTTGAAACCCGCAGGGGATACATTAAATCCGAAACTCAAGCACCTCAGGTTTCTAATAAATACAGAGGTGTACAAATCACTCCAATGAATCACTCTATGTTCCTGAGCTGGGAAGTTATTATCGCATGTATCTAATTGTCACTTCTTTGTATTTTCCTATGTTCTTGTTATCTTGACATGGTCTCAACACCTGTATTTCCTCCTGTATAACTAACACTTGACCTGTATTTAACATCATGCAAGGACTCATCATAAGCTCCGCTTGCATATGAGTATAATGAAAGAATAATAATAATAATAATAATAGAGAGCTTTCAGATAACAAATCTCACAGAGATTATCAATGTATCAGCCTGTTTTATAAAATCTCACAAGAATCTCTTCAACAGGTATTTATATATATCAAAGAATGTCATCTTTCAGAAGAACCTTCATCTTGCTAATTTATTAATAGTGACTACTTCACACAATCTGAAGGCTCTACTCAATGCAGTCTGTAAGGCAGCTGCAGTGATTTCTTCAGTAACATCAGATCTATCTGCTATAATAATTCCTGCAATAATTTCTGCAGCAATTTCTGATTTATCAATTGATAATCTGTTCATTGATGAGAAAATTCAATCTGAGTATTCATTATTTCTCATACTTACTAATAATTGATGAATTGACTATGATATCTTCATAAGAATATCTATCTTTTTAATGCAGAATATACTGAACTCTCTGAAATTCACAGTTGAATCTGATGACTCTCTGACATCTATAAGAAATATCACTATAATGAGAGAAGCTTCAGTGAGAGACAATCTTGAAGATCTACTCATTGATTCTGAGATCACTGCACTTCTGATTCAGAAAAACCTCACACATATCAAAGCTTTTATAAAATGAAAGTATTATTATAAGATCTGTGTTAAAGAGATCAACTGTTTGAAATATACACATTGAAAGAAGAATATGAAGATGAAGAGATAGAGAAATAAAAAATGATGTATCTCATAACTGATTTTTCATTACTACACATTTTCCAGTCATTTTTTATATCTGTACTTGATTTGAAGGCGAATTTTGTATATAGCATCATGTATAGTTATTCTGGTGAGTGGGGGTGTCAGGTCACGTGATCTGACTTACTAATCCTTCCACCATATAACTTTCCCCAAGCTAGCAACCTTTCAATCACACAAGCTTTACACCTTCCACATCATTTTCATGAATATAAAATGAGTTTTTCAAATCAATCTTGCATAACTTCGAGAAAGTGAAAGATAGAATTTAAAAAGCCCCCGAAATAGTTTAATGCTAAGCCGACGAAATCCTGAAAACTAAAACTGATGACATTTTCTATCTAAGAAACATTCGCTTTATTGCTTGCTAACCATGCTTCATGTGCCTTTTTCTGTCTTTCCCAATCCTTCCTCAATTTTTTGCTTCTGCTCTTTGTGATTTCTTCCCCAGCTGCGTCTCTAGTGGGCAACCCGTCCTCGTCCCAAGCACTAAACTCACTGGTCCGGAATAACTCGAGGTGACTGGTTTTACCCTTCTCAGCTCTCTTTAGTGTCTCCTTTTCTTTATTTTCTTTCTCTATCTGCTTTTGGTGTGCCCGAGCAGCTTTCTCTTCACGCGCTTGGATCAATTCCCTGGTGAGAGGGCGAACTAGGGCGGGCTGGTTATCGCGGTCTTCGAGGTAGACTCCGAGATCAAATAGGTCTATGTCACGGACGCGGTCGCAAAGGGTAAGGATTTCCTTCGAAATGGAGCTCGTCTGCTCGAGGGAGGAGACTTTTGCGCAGAAATCCGAGAGGAGATTTTTGTATACCCCCGCTTCTACCTCAGGCACCTCAGATGGTTGTTGGATTGCTGCAGTTCCTTTCTCAACAATACCTTTTATGGTCTCCTCTGATATTCCGTCTTTGGCTCTGGCAACTTCTCGAAGAGAATCCCGCATTGTAGACAGAGGGTAGAGATATGGTTTTGCAGCATCTGGAATATCAATGCCCGACCAGCCAATTTCACTTGTGGTCGGTGATGCGCTACCGTTGAGACCGAAAATGTTGACCATTGATGTTACCCAGGTTGCAGCTTCCTGTACATCCTTGATTGCTAACGTGGATTTATCAGCGATGTTGTATTTGGATATAAGTTCCGATATCGCATACATCGCACCGGCAGTATTAAACGAATCACACAAGCTCTGATGAACAGCATCCTGTGCGGACTTAAGCGCGACGGCGAAAGTGTTTTCTTTTGAGCCTGGCGTAACGTCTTGTTGTGCCACTGCATCTTTAGCTTTGATGAAAAAGTTGTTGGTTTTCTCTTCCCAGGCATTTCCAGCCTTCACGAGATCCTCTGTGATTTCGATTCCATCCTTCCATCCACCTAATAGGAAAACAATGCGAAGGCTTCTAGGGGTCCAGTCACCTTTATCAAGAGCCTCCCGGATAGTAGTGAAGTTCTTGAGTGATTTCGACATCTTCGACCCCTGAATAGAAAGGTGTCCCATGTGCAGGAAGTAGTTCACCCAGTGGTGGTCAGCGCATGTTTCATGCCAGTAAGCTTCACTTTGAGCCAGCTCATTGTCGTGATGTGGAAATGCCAGATCAATTCCACCGGAATGGATATCCATCTGCTTCCCAAGCTTGGCCGATGCCATGGCTGAGCATTCAATATGCCAGCCAGGGCGGCCATCACCCCAGGGGCTCGGCCAGCTAGGTTCACCCGCTTTAGAGGCCTTCCAAAGAGCGAAATCTGCAGCAGAACGTTTTTCTGTTGTCTTTTTTGTTAAGGCGCCTTCTCCCTCCGCCTGAAGTTTCGTATCATTCCGATTCCAGGGCTCCAATCTAGCATAACTATTCCCTGAAGCCTCAAAAGCCGTAATGTCAAAATAAACAGACCCATCAGAAGTGACATAGCCGAATTTATGATCGATAATCCTCTCGACAAAGCTCACGATCTCCGGCATATACTCCGTCACTCGGGTAATGGCGTCAGGGTCTAGGACATTTAAATCCCGGACATCCTGCATGAAACGCGCCTCATACTTCTTCGCTAATTTTGTGAAGATCAAACGGTCCTCCCCGCGTATCGAAGATCCATGAACTGAATCAAGATATTCTAGTAGCACATCCTTGACATCGTTGTAGAATGTTTCACTCAAGATACTCTCCTCCGCGGATGATACTTTTGCGAGCGCATTCGCGGCAGAAGACGCGGTTTTTATGTGCATTTTCAATTTTGCTTCGTCGTCTCCAGGCTTTCCATTGCCATCAAGAGCTCCACCATTCAAGATGGTAGCGTATACCTTCTCCACCTCGTCCTGATAGCGCTCCGGAGCTAGTCCAGCCTCGAGCAGTGGAAGCTTCTTCTCCAGATAAGCGGAATACGCCGAGAGAGCTATCTCAATAACTTTATCATCAACCGTAGGGTGGGAATATACGAATTCGGTAAAGAAATGCTGTTGTCGGCCTCTTGAAATAATCTGGCACTTGTATCAGCCCTGCGCTTGATCAGTAAAGTCTCTTTCCAGACACACACCTTATCATCCACATCCGTGATATTCATAATAAACTTGACATCGAACTTGAAATAATCGCGCATTATTCGCCGTAGAATATCATTGCTGACATAGTTTCTGGCATGGCCTAGATGCGCATCGTCGTAGACGGTCGGACCGCATGCATACCAAGTAACCGTTCGGCCACTGGGGTCAAGAGGAACGAATGGGACTTTCGATCTGGTAAGAGAATTGTAAATCTTCAAGGGAGGCAGACGTGAAGCGGATTCAGGATGCGGCTTAGGCTGGTTCCACGGCGGTTGCTCGCGAGCTGTCGACATGGTTGTGACTGGGATGGAGCTGCTGCAGGGGCGGAAAAGGGCAGGGCGCGTTTTGGCTAAGTCAAAGTGGCTGGATAAGCAACCGGCGCGGAAGAAGGGCCTCATAAATGAGAGACAGACATGGGAGAACAAGAGGAAGAGAAGAGGATGTAAAAAGAGAAGGGAGACGAGGGGTGGACGAGGGGTGGACGAGGGGGGGCAGAGGCGTCAGGCTGCGGATGTTTCCTGCATGGTTCTTCTGCGATGCGGGGAGTTGGAAGGAGAAGTTCTTGCCCTAAACCCTATTTGGCCAAATCCAGCCAGCATAATGCGATACGAAGATAACTACTAGCTTGAACTGGGTCTTCCTTTTTCCTATAGGTACATATATTTTTGGAAATCGTTTAGGATATTGTCTTCTCTACTTCACAGGTGTTCACCTCGCCATGCCGTCGCCATTCCTTACTCCAGGCTCCACGGCCAGGGCAGATTCTTTGGCCATGCTCCATTTGCGGCGAAATCTGCTGATGCCCACGGTGCTCAAGACTCACGATGACGAAAACCTTGGTTATGACGAAGGGAAAGTGACCAACACGCGCTTTGGCTCGTTTCCACACAGCACATTGATCGGACAGCCTTGGGGCTCGCAGATTGTTGCATCCAAGGTCGACACAGGCTCGCGGGGACGTAAATTACCCAAGAGGCAGCCTCCCACCTTAAAGCGGAAAGCAGATGAAATGGATATTTCTGAGGCCAATGTTGATGATGATGATGCGAAACTAACGGTACCCAAAGCTGCTGTCGCTGCATCTAGCGGTTTTATTCACCTTCTCCCTCCCACACCCGAAGCTTGGACTGCCTCCCTCCCCCACCGAACGCAAGTAGTATATACCCCCGATTACAGCTACATATTACACCGAATACGCGCTAGACCTGGAAGCACCCTGATTGAAGCAGGTGCAGGAAGTGGATCATTCACCCATGCGGCTGCGCGGGCGGTGTTTAACGGATATCTTTCAGAAACAAAACCCGCGAGCAACAAACATCTCGGAAAAGTGTGTAGCTTTGAGTTCCATGTGCAACGGGCGGTGAAAATTCGTGAAGAGATTCGTGATCATGGACTGGAAGGTATTGTCCACGTGAACCACAGGGACGTCTACAATGAGGGGTTTTTGTTAGGGGAGCCGTTCAAAGGCGAATCACCCAAAGCCAACGCGGTCTTCCTGGACCTCCCGGCTCCATGGCTTGCGCTGAAACACCTTGTTCGAGAACCAGCTGATGGATCTCCATCCCCCCTTGACCCATCGTCACCTGTATATATTTGCACATTCTCACCATGTCTGGAACAAGTCCAGCGGACCATTAGCGTGCTGCGGCAACTTGACTGGATATCGATATCGATGGTTGAAATATCCCATCGGAACATTGAGGTGCGGAGAGAGCGACACGGGGTTGAAGGTGAAGGGGGTCGAGGTACCATTCCCGGTCCTCGAAACGTAGAAGAATCGGTAATCAAACTTCGAGCCATTAAGGAACGTGGGACAGCTTTCCATGCCAGCCAGGCACAGAGCGAGGCCGAAAGCGGACCTGCATCCACTTCCAAAAACGAAACAAAAAACAAGAACTACAGTGGTGACGATGGCTATGGCCAGAGTGTCAAGGAGGATACCAAAATTGCCGACCCGGATGGTACCGGCAAGCCTGACGTATCATCAATATCATTAACGTCGACGCAAACAACCTGGTCTGAACAACCTCCGTTGCCAACCTACAAACAAGGGAATATCATACATCGCAGCGAGCCCGATCTCAAGACTCACACTTCGTATCTTGTCTTTGCCATTTTACCCGTCGCATGGTCGGAAGAGGAAGAGAATCGATGCCGGGAGAAGTGGCCGAGTGTTGCGAAGTCCCGCGCTGCTGATGGGGCGCTAGGGGCACCGAAGCGCAAGAAGTAGGTGAAACGGGAAGCTAGGGCTGAGAAAAAGATGGCAAAGAAAGCGCAGGAGGAATGATTTAATGTCCTCGGTGAAATATATGTACTAGTGATTACCAGGGCTCCATAACATACGTCAGATTAACTGGTAACCATATCTGAGAATTTTCACTCGCCGCACAATTATTTGCATAAGTAGGCATTTAATATTACGAGACGGCGAATACTCACAATATGTATGAACATCTATCCTGCTAACGAAAAAAGAAACATGGGTGTCTTTTTTCTTAAAACATCTTCCAGAAATCATACCCCAAAATTTGGAAATCCCTAATTTGTTCTCGTTATTCTCGTGGCAAAAAAAATCAAAAGCGCTCGGGGCTCTATTTACAAGCAAGCTGGCTGGAAATAAAAAGGTTTTAAGTTAGGGTATAATATGGTGAAATAGTGCCCGGGCCCCCCCGCGGGGGGCGGGGGGGGGGGGGGGGAAGAATGTATAAGGGCAAGGAGGCACCGAAAAGTATGTTGGTGCACGCGCATACAAAAAGTAATGTAGGAGCCACGTCGTAAAGTGTAGAGAGCATGTCCATGGCAAGGGATCAAGATGCCCATCAGTGTGAAACAGAACAAGATTCTAGTATCAGCTTTTATAGCCCATTTTCGTTCTTGAATTTATCCCACGCTTCATTTAATGTACTGAAAACAGCACCAGCAATCATTTTCTGCTCGGTGGTTGCGTTAACAGGGATCTACCGAGCGCAAAAGTAAAAACACAGAGTCAGTAATGGCCAAATCCGAAATATCTATGACCTTCCAAGTAGAAAATAAAAAATGAGGGAACTGGGGGTAGTGGAGTTTAGCATGCACTGGCGTACCTTATCCGGATGCACCTTGGCAATCCCTTTCATATACTGGATTTTAACCTTGTTGGGTAGAATCAACTCAGCCATGCTAATCTTCTTCCACGCAGCTTCCGGCCACAAAACGGTATCCAAGCTTGCCAAAAGAGCGCGGAGATTGTCTTGCTTCCCTCCCTTCCATGCGTTTATGCGAGCCTCTACAGAATCAGAGAGGGCAAATTTCTCGTTATCAGCTCTGTCTGCCGCCTCATTTGCAGCACGGAGGCGGGAGACCGCCTCGGCTGGCTTGGCATGCTGTCCTGTGGACCTAGCTGCAGGAGTAGCCGGTTTTTTGAGCTGTGCCGGACGGCTAGTAGTCACCGTCGTTGAGGTACGGGGTGTTGGCTGGCTGATACCCGCCGCCTTCTCACACCTATTTCGTCCTTGGATGCTAATGCTACCTCCGTGGCCTGCTTCAACTGCGTCTCGCCAGATCTTGGCAGCTTCAGGCCATCGTTCAAGTTGCTCTAGCGCTTCGGCTTTCCCCATCAATGCCTTACCAAAAAATTCTTTCATGTCTTTGCTTGGCTCCCCGTTCCCTAAGTCGATCTTTTCTGACTCGCCTCTTGAAGGACCAATGATTGCGATGGCTGCATCTGCGTCGCTGATTGCTGATTTTGATTCGCCAATTTTAAGCCCGGTGACCGCACGATTACATAGGAGGATTATGGTGATGGGGTGCTTCTCCGGAAGCTGTGAAAGCGCATTCGAATATGACGTATGGGCAGATACATAATCACCACGCTTAAAGGCTTCTGAACCTCTCTGGAGATGAATATGTGAGGACGCAAGAGCTGAAGATGAAACCTGAGGAATTTCGCGTGGAGGTCCTTTTGGACGGACCGGCAGCGGGTTGGGCGTCTGAGATTGACGTGCTTGGGGATGGGGTGATGTTGTTGCGGGACGTGGAGGTTGGCGCACCGTGCAATGTGCTTCAAGCAAGTCAGGCTGAGATTCCGAAGCGGGCGGTATTGCAACTCCTTTCCGTCTCCTTGCCGGGCTAATGTATGCTTGAGCGGCTTGCTCCTCAGCGTTCAGACGAGTGAGACGAGTTCGAGGGTCTTCTGTTATACGCGGTCGCATATCCCTCTGCACAGCAGCATGTGGTGAATGGCTTCGGAGGATATCTGATTTGGACATGGGCAAGGGCTCCTCCCTTCGCCTGGAAGGTTTGCTAGGCCTTGCACCTGATTCAAGCAGAATCACTTCATCTGTGAAATTACCTTGTTTTGGAGGTTTACTGCCTCGCACTCCAGAATGTGTTGTTTCCGAGGTAGTTGGGGACTCCCGCATCCAGCGCGGTTGATTTACGTCAGATGGGCCATTAAACTCCTGAACGGCTTGCTGCACTTTCTTCGTGCCGCTTTTCCAAAGGGAATTGGCCGATTTGAAAAGGTTATTGCCGAATTCAGCTGCCAACGCTGCCGCATCCTTTTCTACCGTGGCAGGGCTTCGGCTATCTGCACGATTGCTTGAGGAGCGAGACCGCTCTGTCTGCATCCAAGCCGGGACACCGTTGTCTCGGCGTTGGGCGGGTCTGCGACGAGAACTGCGGGCGCGGCTCTCATATTCGCATTGATCTTTCCTCAATTCTCTGATTTTCCCGTTCGCCTTTTGTTTCGCCTCCTCCTGAGCCTGGTTCAGCAGCCAGCCAACGGCAGCCTGAACATCTGTTCCAGACTCCGTGGTAGCAAGAGCCTTTTGAGCCTTGTCCGCGGGAAATCCCATGTCGACCAATTCAGCAATATATTTGTTTGCCGCGGAAACCGCTAGTGAAGGACCCGTGCTTGGCGCTTTCGCTAGCATAATTTCGTCTTCTGGTTTCCGTATAAATTCAGACACCGGTTTTCCAAGGGAGCCTAGAATGTCATCATTATCGGCTGGAGACGGGGGGCTTTGCAGTGTAGCCTTAGGCTTGAGGTCATGCAAACCGAATGGATCATCACCATCGTCGGTACTCCCTAAACCCTGATCCTCAGCTTGCCCACAATTCGAGGGGAGCTGCGAACTTGCCGCATTGTTATTAGTCGATCTGTTGCTATCAGGTATAGGGAAGTTCGTCGATGCATCAACTGGTACCGATGCATCGAAGGCTGCCAACAGGTCATCTTCGTCGGTTGAAGGGTGCTGTGGCTCAGATGATGTTTGTCCTGCGGGGGATGTTGAAGCGTGTGGCTTTTCGAAATTGTCCCAGAATTGTGCATTGCTCCCTCCATATTGGGCCTCGATATTGGCCCTTCTCTGCGCTTCCTGCCTTGCTCTCTGTTCTGCCAACTGCCTCTGTTGTTCGAGCAGAGAAAGCGATTTGCCGGAGTTGGAAGAACTAAATGTAACTAGGTTCGCAAAGCTATCGTTGACCGGGGTGGCTGTTTTTGAGGGTGGTTTCGAGCGCACCGAAGGTCCAACAGTTACGGGAGTCGATCGTCCAGACGTAGGAGGCGTCGGCCTTAACTCAGAGAATGCAGCTGCCGACGTAGACCCAACCGGGGCTGGTCTCCTCGCTTCGGACCCCGCGGAGGGATTCCAGCTGAGCCCCGACAAGTCATCCATGGGTTTTCAGTTGGCGACTATTGTAGTTCTAGAGGTTGTTCGCCGTCAGATGGCGCGACAAGAAGCTTGATGAGGAGCAGAGGTCACTTCATTGTCTTAGCGTTGACCTATTTGGAGGGATCGGTTAGGTTCCACAACTAACCCCACTTATTCATTAACGTAATTACGGCAGCCTATAGTGACATAATCAACCACCTAACGCTCGTTTCCACCTAACACTCGCCTTTGTAAATCAATTACAATCAACTTCAAATATTCATATCTCACTGAATATTTATTTAAAACTACTCTAAAAAACAGAACAATAATTCATAGATATATATTATATTATATTAA